TTCCAAGTGAAGTCTAAATTTAGTACTCAAAGGTTATATCATAATCCTTCCTGCATTAAAAGGCTGAACTAAAATCATGGAACAAATCTTGATGTCTGATCATCACCTTTTCACCCTTTGCAATTAAACACCTCCGGACCTGTTGGGTCAGTCACACCTATGAAACTAGCAGAAACAGGATTAGCAGCCAGTGCTAATTTGACAGATGGCAGCACTAAATAAGCAACCAAGATGCAATTAGCATTAGTTTTTCTCTATAGAGAGATTGTCTGCATAACATTATTTTCAGTGTTACAAATAGTTTGACTTGCCAAATTGGCTTGTAAACATAATGCCTGGAAGATATAAAATATATATCTATAACTGCACCAATGTAAGACTACATTCGCCATTAGAATTGGCCAAAAATTCATTATGAAATAAAGTCATCACAACATGCACCTTTATTTAGGTTATGTTTACACGTAAACTCTCACTTTATCATAACAGAACAAGGAAGAGATACATTTTTTGGATACAAAGTATTCAGGTGCTATTTTATTACTTTTAGCAAGCCTAAAGCATCTTTGAGGTCTGGCCTGACTGAAAGCAAGACAAAAAAATCTAAGAACAATGTTTGGAAACAAAATAGTTTTGAAAGTATCCACAAGCTGTTTCAGTTATTTGCCTTTGCCTTCTATTTTCTCAAGCGTCTGAAAGTACACTAAAAACCTATTTCATTTTTTTCACTATGGATCACTGTAGCACTTTAATATAAATCTGATTCCCGCCTTATTCTCAGGCTCCGCTCACATCAGCTGTTATTGTATTTGGGCATTATTGGACATACTGTTATAAAAGTTTGGAGGCAGGGAAAAGAAAAGAAAAAAAAAGATGAAAATTGTAAGATAATATCAGTTTAACAGAATGACAGTATTTCAACTTTTTTTACCTCCTTTTGAAGGAGGTAAAGTTTGACAGAAACTAGTATGCACTGACTCCTATCCCAGGTGTATACGTGTATTTATATAAGCAATTTCTGCACATTTAAGTTCAATATATACTTTCTCTCTTTGTGTGGCTCATCTACTTTGCTACAGCCCCTATACACAGCAAGCAACTGTGTGATGTTATAACCACTGAAAGACTTAATACAATGGTGCCTGAAACAAAGAACATTATTGTCTTTCCTTGAAGCACTATGTAAGCTCATACATTTTCTACCAGTTAGATTAGACCTTGTATTGACAGCTGCAAGCTGAAAGTTACTTCTGCCCTCACTTCTCCAGCTATGGGTGTACCCCAGCTCCTTGGTAATAAGAACTCAGTCCTGATTTTCTGAATTTTCAGCTTCTGAATCAGCTTCTCATCAGAACAGTGGGGATAATAAATTAAATATGAGAGTACTGCAAACAGTTATGAATAAGGATTAAAGTTATTTCTTTGCTTCTGAAGTAAAAAGAGCTACTACTATCTTCAGACTAATTTTTCTAAAAATATCAACTCCTCCAGGCAATAAAACCTCATGTTTCAACTGCAATCTATTCATTGTAGAAACTAGTTTGGTCCGCCGATTAGTTTTTTAATATGTGCATTTACTTGCATACAGCTAGCTTTCATTGTTGTTTGTTTGTTTGTTTGTTTGTTTCTTTGTTTTCACACTTCCTTTGCAATTTCTTCTCCTTACTGTTGGCACAGGCAGCAAAGGCACAGAACTGCGAAAGGAGTTGCTGAGGGAAAAAAAAAAAAAAAGAAAAAAAAAAGCAAGTACTGGACTGTTTCACCCCTTCAAGCAGATCTGAAATGGAAACCAGGAATTATAGTGTGGCTTAGGTTGGAAGCAAAAGTAAAGCCCACCCAGCCCCAACCCCTGCCATGAGCAGGACTGCCCCCTACCAGCTCAGGCTGCCCAGGGCCCCATCCAACCCAGCCTTGAGCACTTCTAGGGATAGGGCACCACAGCTTCTCTGGGCAGCTGTGCCAGGGGCCTCGTGGCCCTTCAAGTAAGAATATTTGCCTATAATCTAACTTAAATCTCCCCTTTGCTAGTTTTAAGCCATTTCTCCTTGTCTTGCCATTATTTTAACCCACAGGCTCTCCAACCATGGGTTTCTCAGGCTCATGACTTTCTCAGAGGCAGCAATTTGCATTCTATTTACCTCTTAAGATAGAAGGCAACCTCTTAAGTTCCTCAGCCCTTCTTGCCCTGGCTATCCCTTCCAAAGAGCTTGTAGACCTCAGCCATGTATTCCAATTGTGCAACCTGTCCTACTATGTTTCTGTGATAACAATTAGGTCATAGTTTTCTAATTCCACCATAGTTTCCATCTCCTCCTACTTGTTTCCTATGATGTGTGGGTTGGTGTGGAGGCAATTCAGCTGGACTACTGACTGTGTTATCTTGGAGGAAGAACCATTTATTCAAAGCTCAGTTTTCCTTTTCCCCATTTGCTTTTTACTGTCTGTTATTACAGCCAGTCTCTTGTTCCTATCTACTCAAATTGTTGCAAAAACCACAATGAACATTGTTTTTTTTACTCGGACTTTTAATTGAGCTTCTCAACTAAGTCTTCAAAACTAAATAGCTCACAATATCGTTCTGACGATATATAAAGCTCTCTTCATTAAAATAAGAAAAAAACTTACAATGTGCAAAAAAAAAAAAAAAAATCACTAAATCTCATCTCTGCCATCTTCACCACAATCCTTGACAAAATAACAGTTCTTGTTCTCTAATCCTTCTTCAGATTCTTCTATATATTCTACCAATATTAAAGCCTAAAAAGTGATAGTAGAGCTGAATATTCTGATTTCAGTTATGAGAGCAATAAGCATCAGAAGAAAGTTATTTGATTTGTCTAGATATTTCTATAACAGCAACTTTGGAAGAGCAGATAGAATACATAAATTCTGCCTGATGGCATCAATTCAGCCTCTACTTTTCTTTTCTTTTTTTTTTTGTTCAGATAGTATATAGTGTACGAATATGAAGGAACAAAGGAAGAAAAAGAAACTATTACATTGCTGTTTTTATTACATTAACTTATTTCTGATAAAAATACTAAATACATGTTTATCTCAGGAACATAAATTATTCTGTTTTAAACTCGATTGTAAGTGGGCATCCAAAACTATTTCAAAGTAATTTTTAACAGTAAGCATAAAACACTCTGAGATGAAGATGAAGACTCTGTTTTCTACCAGTAACCACCTTGATCATACAATTGAAAGGTTACATGAAACAAATTTATATCTGAAACACTGATATAAAACATTAGGCAGAGATTTCTGCGTACTCTCCAACTGATACCTGCTTACTCCAGTGGATCTCCTCAAAACGATAAGACTTTTTAATCTTGTCATAAGAGTATTCAGGATCACAAGCTAATCATTATTATTTTTATAATCTCTCCTCTCTCAACACATAAGAGCACTGACAGTTGGAAATTAAGCACATGCTACAAAAGCAGGATGTAGCTTAAAGTAGATTAGAAAAAGTTTTAATTAGTTTAAAAAAAATATGCTTAGATAAAACATTAACACAAGTTGAAATAATGATCAAATTTTAAAGAATGACTGATTATCAAAATGAAGCATTTATCTATAACTTTTAGAAAGTTCAAAATCAGATATTCAAAGTTTTCTTTGTCTAAAGAGTGAGAGCTATGGAATAACTGACAAAAGTGTTGCCATTTTCATGGCTACTATTATGCACTTCAAAACATTAATCTAAGCATAAATATTCCCCCTAAGTAGCGTAATGTGTAATATTTTCTTAAAACCATCCCGATCAGAAGAAGAAACTTAACTGAAAATACTATTGAAGAAATAAGGCAATAAAAATCTCTCACAAATTACGCAAAGAGCTCAGAAACAAATTTTAAAAATCACGTTTAGTGAAAAAATCTTTCACCACGCACAATTCAGACAGCATTGCCTCCCTGAACCCCCACAAAAGGAAGAATAGTAGACAGTAAATATCACAGGACTCTTCAGGCACTTTCTCATTTTCCTTGTAACATCAGAATAGCTTCATTATGCATTTCTGGTCTAGTCCCTCAGCTGCTTTATTCTTTCTTTTTTACTCTATGGTGTGTGAGTAGCAACACTGCTTTTATAAATAGACTGAAAGAGTGGAACACTGCTTCATCTGTTCACCTAAGTACAACCAAGCATTTCAAAACATCAAACAACAATTAGTAGCAACTCTGTACCTGTGATTCTAATTTGCGTAATTTCAAATCAAGTTAAAACTTGTATAAATCTGCTAGAAAATAAGAAATTGCCTAGATAATATTTTTGATTTGAAGGGCTGGAAGCAATACCTCAGTGCAAAGCATTATAAAGGTAGAGAAAGAAGCTCTATATCTGTTTTAGAAAGCAGAAATTGGAATCTAGACCAAGGTATGGTGATAAGGTTTGATGCCTTGAAGCTCAAATACCTTTGAAAGACATCTAGTATCCAGCCTCCATTATCAGGTTAAGTCAGCTGCAATTAGGATATGTACATCCATAAATTTTTTTGAAACTTCGCCATAATGATACTCTATTTGTATTTATGCAAATTCAAACTTTACATCAAATAGCACTTTTTTACAGGAAAAAAAGAAAAAAGAAAGAATTAAAAGAAAGCAAAGGACAAAACTTCTATTAAAAAAAAAAAAAAAAAAATCCAGGTATGAAAAAGGAACTTTTAACTCCAGAAAAAATATTATAGGAATTAAACCAGAATCAGAAGCAGCAACACAAGACTTACATATCCAGTTCTACCCACCTTATAAATGTTGAATATTGCAATAAATAAATTCATATAACTTCCCTTGCCCCTTCCTCCCCCCCAAATATCCCAAACATTCAACTGTAATTTTTAATTAAGCATAAAAAACTTCAGGGAAGGAAACAGCAAGAGAAGAAGAAAAAGGAAAAATTCAAAAAACATTTCTCTTTGCATAAAAGTCCCACTATTGAGAGCCATGTTTGATATATCTATTATTTAAATGCAATATATTAAAACATAATACCTTATAACACATGCATAGAGTCCGCTGTCTTGTACCACTGTTGGTCGGAACCAAATGGAATCTTCTTCTTTGCTCATTCTAGTTCCATCAAAAGCTATAGGTTCTTCAAAATCTCCTGGTCCAGAGCTTTTGTACCACATCAAGCTGAGTCCAGCACTTTGGGCTAGGGAGTAATTAGCTCTAATATATCCATAAAAGAGTGCACATTTTATACGAACAGGTTCTCCCACTAGAACTTGATATTTCTTGTAATCCACAGACCAGTCAGTGCATCCATCAGCTGAAAGAGAAGAGAAGATGAAAAGAGATTACCAAAGGCTTCAGAGACTTCTGCTTATATAGTAAGCTTCATTCTGGGAGAGAACTGCCTTTGAGTCCATTGAGTGAATGGTTGTAGTCTTTTGATCGCTGAAAAATTAACCTCATTTTAACATCATTAATTTAATGTACTTTTCTAGGAAGAACACAGAAATGCACTTGCGTTAAATGCTGGTAATTTCTGAGATAACTGAGCAATTGTGCTTTTTTTTTGTTTTTTTGTTTGTTTGTTTGTTTTTAATTTTCTGCGACACAAGCACGAACAAGCAGAATTAGAGAGGTCAAACTGTGGTGATAAGGTGCAGGGCTTTGCCAGACAAACACAGTAACTGACATCAATTTACACAGAAACAAACTTTTTACACCTTTTCTTTGTTCCTCTTGCCCTTCCTTTCCCCTGCAAAACCTCCATGGTTCTGCAGAACCTTACACTTTCTACACCCTCATAATCTGGTGCCCTTGGCTCACAATCCTATTGACTACAATGGAAGAACGAAAAAAAAAAAAAAAAAAATTAGAGTGGCATGTTCTTAGGAAAGAGATTACTGTGAACACTCAAATAGATGACAGCACGCATGTGCTGTAATGGGCACTTCCTACATATACTCTACATGTGATGCATAAAGTATATTCTTCAGTCTAGAAAAACTTGAATGTATGGTAAAACAAATTAAAATCTTGATTTCCAACTCATTTAAGAATGTAATTTTTCAAAGAATCAAAGACAATTACATTCAAAGTACAGTTTACTTTCAGACAAATATTTGGAATATTCTTTTGACGTTGGTACCTTAAAAATATTATATATTTGCAGTTAGAGATTAAACACTTGTGCTATTATCCACATAAGTAGGAAGAGACAAGAGCAAAGACATGTTAATATTAAATAAATTTAGGGATTTCTGTTAGGTTTTGTGTTCTAACAGTGGGCTATTTCAGTTTTGACTGGATTATGTTTCCTTTAGGGTATTTTCCAAAGAAAGTACCTAGGGTTTCCTTTTCAAATTATAGCTGCTACAAGCAAATAACCAACAAAAAGGTGGCAAAAAAAAGAACTGTGAAAAAATTAACTTCAAGACATATCAGATGTTTTTATTTCAATTGTCACATCAAGCAGTCAAGCATCCTTTATTATTATTATTATTATTACTTTATCTTATAAATTGGAAAATACTTGAATAATTCAACAGCTTTGAAATTTCAGAACAACATTCAAAAGAATGGTTTTAGTCCCTGATCTCTATTTTAATACACTGCCATTTATTGCTATACATAATTGTGCAACACAGGGACCAGGCTGAATATAATTCACTCAGTTATTTCCTTGAGCGATTTCAAGGTATGAAATCTACACTACATCACTGTCCTAATAATGAGTTTGTTCTGATAGATAAACAAGCTCCTTGCAAGCTGTAATTTTTGACAGGACCCAGCACACCAACAAATAATTTAACATTACAGAAAGGGATTTCCCTTTCATTTTTTTCAGGATCACATGCAAAATTTTCAAGGGGAAATTCAGTTCTTAAAAAGGAGGAAATAGAACTATACTGACTCCTGTGTCCATTGCCAAAACTTGACTTCATTCAAAAGTTCTGATTCAATTTATAGGTTTCAGAGCCCATGTAGATCCTTAGGTTACCTTAGGTTTTGATGGAAATCTGAATTCCCGAAATATAAACAGTTTAGGTCTGACATTAGTTGAAAACAGTTACCCTAAAGCATCTATAATAGCAATACAGTAACAGTAAATTCTTCAAAATCTATTGCATTTAATACAAAATAAAAATTATTATTTCTTTTTCCCATCTTTATTATTATTATTATTATTATTTTATTTTTTTTTTTATTCTTAACCTAATGACCTACACAGAGAGTTGTGCAATGTCAAAGTTTACTATTTGCCAGTTGCCAGCCACTTCAGGATTCCTGAACACATAAACTATTTGAAAAAAAAATAAAATAAAAAAAAGTGACAGGAAAGAATAGATCTCATAAATTGTGAAAGATGAGTACATAAGACAGAAGGCATCAGGTCTTGTTTTTAGAACTGGGAATTTATTGAGGAAGTCTATTTTTTTAGTGAAAGCAGAAATAAGTTGGTAATAGTTAAGGATATAAAATATGATAGAGAAAGTGCACAAAGGATAATGCAGCAATGTGGTGAAGATTTTTGGGTAGAGAGGGGATTTCTGAGTCCTAATCTGCTAGGAAAATAGACTTCCATTAATTGGCTTTTCATAGACAACCTTGTCAGAAGTTTATCACGAGATGCACAAGACTTTCTTTTCAAAATTATTCTACCGTGACAGTTTTCACAATAATATTTTACCATCAAAAATCACAAAAGTTAAACTTCCACTCTGCTCTGTATTATCTCATTTCAACCTGGTTGTTTCTTTTTAGTTATACAAGCCAGCATTAAAAAGAAAAAAATATATATATTCCAGATGGGCACTGATAATTATCCTTAATATTACACTGTCTATACTTACTGAAATACTTGAGCCTATTTGCTATATGCAACATAACACATGTTATTCTGCTGTGTATTCTTTTTATGAGAAAGCAAAGATTCACTATTTTTGGCTCATGTATCCTTTCCTTCGCTATAAAAATAAATTCCAACATAAATGAAGTAATAGAGTTAAAAATGCAATGTGCATGGGGAGATGAGAAAGAAGAGCATGGTCACTTCTATTATTAGACCACTTAAATTTTGTACTTTCAAAAAAGTACCAGTGTAAAATTGGAAGCATGAAAAAATATATATTTATCATTAGTAATACAGTTTTCAAATGACCACATAAAATATATTTTATACATGATTTCCTTTTTTCACTAAGTCTGCTATTACAGATTTGCACGTTACTATGTGGCACTTATGTCTGAGACAGCACTTTCCATTTGAAATCCCAATTTACATTCCGTATAAAACTCTCAAAAATTACTTTGTAAGCTAAAAACTTAAATATTTTGATCTCTGTCTAGAACTATGTGAGGGCTGGTATGAAGTGATGTCATTAAGGGAAAAGGGGGGTGCTGAAGGACATTTGAAGTCGATGGAAAAATTATTTTGAACCATACTGTCTATTAAATAAGCTAGGTCCTATAAATTACAATCTTCTCAATCTCAGCTGAGAGAAGCACTAGACGTTGAAGACATGTTATCTCGCAAACCATGGCAAACTCTTAAGTCCACAGGAAGAAAAATAATGGAGAAATAAACTCAAGGTTTGCCTTAAGTTAATTCATAATTCTCTAGGTTTTGGCTTCAGAATGCTATGCTAAGATTAAACAAAGTACATATACCCAGATACTGGATTACACAGACTCAAGATATCTTGTTGAAAGTTTTTATGTCATCCTTTTTTATTATTATTTTTAACCTACAATAGGCCAAATTAAATGATAACCTTTACTGACATATCAGGTTGTGCTGGGTTGACCCCTGTCATCAGCCAATCACCCAAGCACCAAGTCACTCACTAAGCCCCGTTTACAATGGTATAGAAGATAAGAATAGGAAGAAAAAAAGTACAAAAAAATCATGAAACAAGGTAAAGATGGTTTAATGAAGAAAAAGAGAAGAAAAATAAGACCCAAAACTACTAATGCAAAAGCATTCACTTGCAACTTCCTACAAGGAAACCAATACTCATCCAGCCTCCAAGCAGCAGCTACCACATAAGCCAAACTGTTGCTTTTTACTGCTTAGCATGATGGTATTTGTTGAAGAATTCAGCCAGTTTGGGTTGACTGAGCAGGCTGTGTCTGCACACAATCTCTTATCCATCCCTTCCCACCAATCTTCTTTCCTGGGGGAGCAGAGTGGGAGAAAGCCTTGATACTGAGCAAGCACTGTTCAGCAATAACCAAAACGCTGGTGGTGTCAGCAACACTGTTCTAGTCACAAATCCAAAACACAGAACCTTGCAAACTGCTAAGAACAAAATTAACTCCTAGTCAGATCCAGCAAACAGGTACCTAATTGTTTCTGTGCTTCTTTGTGCTCCCTTCTTCCAATAATTCATTTTCAATAAAGAGACCTTATGTACATTTACAGTACAAAGGTGGCAGCATATTGTAATCAATAAACACAAAACACGATTAGTTTATTAGTATAATTTCTATTGATCTGATAGTTACCTGCATTAATGATCAGTGTCCATCTGAAATGAATTTTCTTGTTAGTATTATTTACTATACACCTTTACTTGAAGACTATTCTGTTTCTTCTGTGACAGCACTAGATTATCTGTGGTACTTTTTTAAACCTTAAGAATGAAAGCCTCTTCCTTGCCTGGTCCCCAAAAGCACGTTAAGATTTACTTTGATAGTTAACTACATAATTTAGAAATCTGAATCCTGATACTTTTTGATCTTAGACATCCTGCTGGAATTGCAAATAAATGTAATACTAACTCAAACTGAAGAAAAATTACCATAGCAAGTGGCTATGTTAATTTCTCAAAATTTAACAAATCAAACTAGGATGGATTTTGGAAAGATTTCCAAGAAAAGAGATTCCCTGAACTGTACTGGTGTATTGTTGTATAGCAGATGGCAAATTATTTAATTTTTCCCAGAAGCACTTCTTACTCTTGAAATTGCTTCTGAAAAATTCATTCTGTACTCCAGTAGTTTCACTTCAGAGATTATGAAGGAGATCAAGTTTTTCTTCCACATTGAAATTTCAGTAGCGTTTGGGTAGCAGCTGCACATTTAAACTTTTTCTCCTACAAAAGAACATAACTGCATAATCATGTTTTGAAATATCAGCGACATTGAAATAATTAAACATGTAAAGACTCTCCATGTGCAATAAATACAAGAGAATCCAACAGATTAGTTTGTAATACAAGAGGATTACTGTTGATCAAATTGCCCTGTGTGTAGGAGAGTGCAAGCACCTTGCTGCTGTGACTTAGCTACTGGATGTTTCTTAAGCTGCAGTAGCAC